GGGGGGGGGGTGGAGCATTAGCACGCTTCCCGACCTAACTGGACCTGATCGATCTCATGGATGCCATGTTCACACCAAATGTTTGTATTTACTTGTTACAATTGTAGACATTTTGTGTAACGGCTCGGTTTTTTGCATGTGTAGGTTATGTTTGTTATTTTCTTTGTTTTCCGAGACGGTGAGTGAGCGCAATTAGCCAACGACAAACGTGCACACAGTCTTGTTTCGCCCCAATTATAAACGCAGGGATTAGGCACGACAAGTTCAGGCTTAAAGCTTATGTTTGGCCATTATACGTTACCCTAGAATGGCGTCGTACCGTACGTACCTGTAGGCAGAGTATTATTTTTTAATGTTTGTCTCAATGATTTTTCTTTTATGTGACGAAGTATGTATGTCGTCGCTGTGCTGAGTCCAAGCCTCAAGCTGGCTGCGGCCTCCTATGGCCGACCCGGCATCTCGTTAGCGAGAGCTGTTCCACTGCCCCGCAGCAGCAGCAGCCACAGCCACTGTCAAACAAATTCCGTTACTGCAAGTCGTATTTTTAATCTCTGTGAATTTAGAGTTTGGCATGATTAAACTGGAGATCGAAAAGGCTTAACAGCTTTTTAAAACTGTAACAGAACAAATGCAACTTTAGTTTGTCAAAATGTCGTTTTGGTGTTCTCGTCGACTTGTTCTTTGCTCGTACACTGTGCAGAGCAGGCCCAGGCCCGGCCAGGTCCTCTGTGCCGGTCAGAGAAGTCGCGCACGTGACAATGTCTGCCCTCCCCCCCCCCCCCAATCCCCTCTTCTCGGTCCCTGCTTCAGCCATACACCCTTTCCCTCCCATCCCCGTGCTATGCCCGCTCTTCTATCCCTCAGGGTTTTTAATATATGAACGTCACATCAGCCTCCTTCCCTCCTCTGCCTGCCTTTGTCTCTCGCGGCTCCTCTTGGTTGGACTCGAGCGCCACGCCCCGCCGTGCCCCGCCACGCCCCGCCACGCCCCAAATCTAAATCCCCGAGTCGCCCGCCCGTGCCGCGCGCCGCCGAGACGTGGGGATCAAGCGGGGGGACTTGTTGGCGTTCCTCCCGGGAACGTATGGCCCGCCTTGCAGCGCCTTGCAGCGCCGCGTGTTATTCCTACCACCTTATCTTCTTTTTTTTCTCGCTTTCTCTATCTTCCCACCCGCACGCTCTCGTATATTTTTTTTCTTCATTACAAACCTTCCAAGCCACGTCAAAACAACAACAGAAAATACTATCAAGATACGCCACCATACAGGTTTACTAAAGCAGAAAATATAAACTCTCTGCGAGTTTCCCTCACGTGTAAAACGCGTATTGTGCACAAGTTTTAGATGAATGTCAACAATAACCATTAATTCGCGGAGCAGCAGGGAGATTTTATTTTTACTGCGTCGCGTGTGCGTTTCTAAAACCACCCCCTCCTGTACGTTGCGCCTATATGGCAAATAAAATATGGTCGCATGGGGGCTAGCCTCCGTAGCTTTACGCTACGCGTTACACTTGCTTACCGAGCAGAGTAGTTACACAGTCTATGAAAAATGTGCGCGTCGCGTCCCCTCCTTTTACTAATGGTGCTGGATTCACTGGATTACTCACCACCCGTGCCTGCCACCTCCCCTCCCCTCCCCTCGCCCGGGGCGGGCTACACGGTCGGTATAACACCTGCCATCACACACAGTGTCGCCCCCGCGGCAGCAGCAGCAGCGCAGTGTCGCTGCCATCATTTTACGTCGCGCTGGTCGGCATTGTGTCCGCGTCGCGTCACAATGGGTCACATGCAGCCAGCCAGCAGCAGAGTGGCAGCGGGGGAGGGGAAGGGGAGCACTACAAAGTGGGTCTCTCGCTGCCGCGCCCATTCCGCCGCCGTGGTACATATAATTAGTTCCGCTCCCCGCCGGGCGCCGCCGGGCCCCGTGCCGGGGTGCCGGTGACGTTTATGTCGCCAGCAGGACAAACAGGGTAGGGCGGGTGTCCCCACTGCCGTGTCGGCCTGCAGCGGGCTGCGCGCGCGGGGCACCCGGGAGGGCGGGTAGGTAGGTGGCGAGGAGGGATTCAATTTCTTTTATCTCTCTCTCTCTCTCTCTCTCTCTCTCTCTCTCTCTCTCTCTCTCTCTCTCTCTTTCTCTCTCTCTCTCGTACTGCGGTGG